ATATTAAGTTTGATTTTTACACTGTCGTAATAGAAATTTCGGCGTTAAAAAAATATAAAAATTAATTCATTTGCAGAATTTTGATCAGGAAAACAAATTTGCTATATTGTTATAAGAGTTAATGCATTTCAATTTCGTTTATTATATTATCATTTGTCGAGTTAAATTTGTGACACGTCGCAACAACGTTTATGTAATAGAAATTAAAAATACATTTTTTTTTTTTGCTGTTTTTTTTTTAATGAAAAAGGGAAGTGGACAAAGTTTTAAGCCGGCGAGTACACGTGCCGTCTAACTGTCGAGTGCAAAACAGCATAACAATATTCTATAATGCATATCTCAATGCGGAAACAGCGATAACACGTGAATAGAAACTACCTATAATAAACTGTCGAGGTATTAATATGACGTATTCAATGTGTAAAATAATCATTTGAAAGTCTATCGTCGAATAACGACTTAATTAATCGCACACGTAAATAATTGCTTCATTAATTTTATCACCGGTACGTTTTTTTATTTATTATTATCTAACGGTAAATATAATTGTATGTGTACACTGTATATAAATGTCTACGACCACAACTTATCCGTCATCCAAGTTCCAGAGACATTTTCGATCCAAGATGTAAGCGCCGCATTTCTAATAAATTATGATAGAAATACTATTCAAATTACGGGTCTTGTGTTTACAACTGGCTTACATAGACCGCCAATTGAAATATTATACAAAGCTTTAATGGTTTTTTTAAAGTTGTACATAATAAAGACTATGTATGAAACTAAATACTAATGTGTCACGTAGGTACTTATTCTGTATGATTTGATTTTTGATTAAATAAGATTATAACCAAAACCAATAGTGATTACCTAATATGTTAATATTTGTATCTTTGGTTAGTATTATAAAATCGATAATCGTCAATTTGTTTAACCATTTAAAATACATATTCACTTAAAAGCCCCTTTATAATACCTATAAATCATGTCTTCAGTTTTTCGTTAATATGTTGAAATTCTGGCTTCAATTATACTAATGGTTTTTTGTTAACCAACATGATTGTTTGATTTTTTTATTAATTATGAAAATATTCGCCATTTTTAATCAAGCACATGATGGGTGGTCCAAGAACCAAGAAGTATGCGTCAAGTAGGTACCTACATTAAAGTATTCTTTGAAACGCGAACGATGAATGCATTTAATAAGTTTATATAATCTTATGACAGATAATAATTTCAATTATTTCTTAGTAAAGGTTTATTTTAAACTTGTGATTATCTTATTAGGTATATATCATTATATCAACAATACACATTGTTTGGTAAATATTATTTATTTATTTTAACTCCACTGTTTTAAGATCTACATGTACTGTTACTTGTTAGACACATTCTTAATGGATTCATCTAAATTATTATTAAATAACTAGTTATTTACATAAAAATCATAAAAATTAATGATTCCTAAATAATTATTAATAATAATTATTCATTAATAATTATACGGCTAATAAACTACGTGAAATACAAATCGAATTTTCTCAAATATTTAATTGTTTGGATGTCAACATAAAAAATATTATTCAGTTTTAGAATAACCGATGTGAGTGCTTAGAAGAAAAAAACGTCATTAATTACATAATCATGGTTAGGCAACATATAATAGTCCAGAAGATATATTCATATTAGTTGGCAATAATATGTTTGAAATTATAATTGGCTAACACGTTTTTTGACAAATCGCGTGTCATTTTTTTAAAAATTATAGCCATTAATGATAATACATTTTTCATAAATATTGCGAACTTAAAATTCTTTATAGTTGTTAAGTATTTATTATGATTTAATTAAACAACCGAGTGTTAAAAAATAATCATCTATTATGTTAGATAATCGAAGCTAATGGAAAAAGTGAAGGTCGTTATTACGATAGTGACCAGTGTTTCTGCAATCATTTTTTTATACATTATTATAATGAAAAATATTTCAATTCTCCGAAAATTTACAAACATCTACTTTGTTCTCGTTAAGCAAAAATGATCGTAAAATAGGAATTTAGCAATTTTTCGTTTAACTCCGCTTCTTATTATTAGGGTATTGTTATAACTTATACTCTACTCTACTATACTCTTTACTTATTTTTTTTATGTTATTTAACAAGTTTCATTTGAAGTTATCATTACTCACACTACAGTTTACACACTTGAAACTGTTTAAAGTCGACCATCCACAACTTCTACAATAACCATTATTTGTCTTAAGGTTAAACGATTAAAAAATGTTATTAATGTTTGAAGAATGTCGGTGAAAATGATGATAATGTTTCCAATTTCTGTTTTGAACGTTTCCGGTATAGGTAGTCACAGCAACTAGTAAGGGACAAGTATTCATTTATTTTAACTCTGAATTTTGGTTAAATACAAAAAGGATTCCAACATGTGCAACTGTGAATATTGTTAATGATTTAAAAATCAGACAAAACTTAAATATATTGAAGACAATACGAAAACAATAAAAACGGTTTAATTCATTTTTATTGGTAGCGACGTTACACAAAAAAAATCACTAAAGAAGTCCAACATCGTTTATCATACAATTTAATATAATATATATTATTTTTTATCGTCACAGAAAAAAAAAACATTAACGCGTCTTCATTGAGTTTTATTTAATACCAATTGCATACAACTAGAATATAAGTAAAAATAACGATTAGCCGTTTGAACAAAAAAGCACAGACATACTAATGATATATACTTACAACATAAATAGCCTGTCTTGTTTTCTTCTCAAAATCACGTTTCGTTTTTAAATTGTGTTAGTATCACGCTTGAATGTGGATTATTCACCGAGTTTAAATAAGCTCGGTATACCTAATGTTATTATGTAGAAAGATCTTAACAAAATAAAGAGAAATAAAAGATGTATATAAAATAATTTTTAAAAAAATCTTTGACAACTGTTGCCGACATCATTTTGTGATACGACTGTAGCTACATCTTTTGTACCTACTTATCCGATAATTAATTTGTATACAACCATTGCACTGACCAAGTTCACGTCGCAAGAGACTTTGGAAAAAAATATAACATGGACACGCTATTACGGGTAGTAAAAATGAAAAGAGAATATTATGATAAAGAAATGGACGGGGAATAGGTATAATAGTCTCATTCTCGAGAGAGCTGACCTGTATGCTATATAATATATATATATATATATATATATATACATATTTTGTTGATTAAAAGACTAGTTCAAATGACCGTTGATAAATATGATTTTTTATGGGTATAAAAAAGTTGAAAACAATGTTTTCCTTTACTCATTCAAGTAATTTCATAGAGAAACTCGTTAAACCCGGCCTCCTCCTTCTCCTCCTCCTCCTCCTCCTCCTCCTCAGATGATTGTTCAATGTATTTTCTTGCAAGCAACCATGTATTCGGTGACCATAATCATATTATAATACTCTTATAAACAATAATAATATTGTCTATGTGTGTGTATCTTTTAGACAAGTTTTTTCCCCATCTCTTGCTCACAATATTTTTCTTCTTTTTGTTTTTGACCAGTAAACTGTCAAACCGGTCGATGTTCATTACGATATTATTTATGACAATAATTGTTCCTTGCGACATAAAAGGCCCTGAACAAGACGTATTAATATATTATGTGTTTTTATAAATATTTAGTAATTTTTTTAACGCCAATGCCATCGCCACACTTGGATACGACTTTTCTCTAATGGATTTAAGAGATAAACATGTTTTACTCATTTCTCGAACATCATTTTATACCTCATCGTTTAGTAGTTTATGTTTTTTTAGTCAGAACTTCTTTCGGTTTCTTTTTATCGTTGTTAAAAATTACAATACATTTCAAGTTTTTAGTTTGATCATTTTGTGAATTGTGAATCTATCCACGTTAACCACATGTATAGATTACAAAATAATCAAACTAGTAGAATAATCCACGGAAGCAACATTCCAGTTTGCATTTTAACCGAAAATAATCTTGAAGTAATCTGACAAGCCATGATTGTATAACTTGGGAAAAACGTCTACAAGTTAGGTTAAGAAGAACGCAGCAATTTAGTGTAGTATGTGAAATTCATTTAACTAAAATTGTGCGAGCCAAAAGGATTCAGGTATCACCTTTTTTTGAAGACAAGTTTTTGATCATATAGTAAACATCTGTATACTAATTATTTTTTATTGGTTTTCAGGATTCTATCTTAGTAAGGGTAGGAGGATTTCTAGGAAAATAATATGTGGATGGGCAACCCTGTTTGCACGATTGAATGTGTAAACTACAACCAGTCCTTTAAAAACATTAGTGTTTTAAAGTCTCTTACTTTACCTACTGACAAATACACATTTATATACTAAGACGTTTTTATATAATTTAATAACGGCTAAAATGTTGATCTCATCTGTTCATGTACCGGTGTACCTAAAAAGGTAATTTATGTAACGTCTACCATCATGTCTACAGTAAAAAAAAAACTGGAAAATTCTATTATTGGACGTTATTGATCATTATAAAATATTATTTTTAAGATAGCGATCGAATTTTATAGGTATAGCTCTTCAATTTAATAAAACACATTATAAATATAGCATAAATAAATCTAAATTGATATCGTCTGGACCTATAAAAGTGATAGACATCTACCATGCAAGCACATCTTACATTTTTTCCACTGAAATATTTCCAACAATATAAGTAAAAAAACATGACAACTCTGGAAAATTGCTTGCATAATAATCTATCTTGAATTTGTACACTATAAAATATAAATAACCAACATTAATATATAAACACATTTTTAAATTCTTTTGATTAATTCATAAAACAGAAAAGTAGGTTAAATACCTAAAAGTATTATCGTAATTATTCCCTTTGACGATATCGTTTACCTATATTAGCGTATTGATCAATTCTTGTATACGGTATCTATATAATATGTTTAATCAAATAAAACAGTGGAATGAAAAGCCATGTGTGACGATTTGGAAAATACCTTTCTATATGGTTTAAGTGAGAAATTGTATTGCAGTACTGAAATCAATTTCCTTCGGGTCGGTCGTGACGGTATTAAAAATATTGTCATTTAGGCAGAAAATGTGTAAAAAATCATTCCTATTGCTTTTAACAGGATTGCAATTTGTGTTGGCAAATGAATATGACGGTTTTATACGAACAGTGACACAACTGTTTTTACATAGACACATACGAACGGTGACGGCGGCAACTTGCTGGTCTTCTGGTAATTTCAACCAACGAACAATGGTGACAACATAACATTTCAATGGCTACTAACTTACTGTTCACAGTCATCAACAGCAATTTGTTAGTCAGATTATCGGACGTGGACGTATCAGTTACGTTTCATCCGTCTACGATACCATCGCATAATCCTTGGTATAGATACGGGATTTTAATCGACTTATCATGTACTAACTTCTCCAGCCCATTATTTAAACAGGTAAACAAATTACATACCATTAATGTCCGTATAGGACAGCCCAAAATAACATGTTCTTAAAAGTTCATCCAATAAACAGCTCATTATAAGGCCGTTTATACATTCATCATAAAATACTTTCACTGTACCGACATTATATTTTGGATTTCTTATTTTTCATTATTAAATTAATATGTTGTCTTTCAGGCGTTTCAGGATCGGTTGTTCAACATGCAAAACGATTGGATACTGTTCGGCGGTCAAACCTTTTCTAATGATACGAATTCATCTACGAATGTACTCAAAATATTTGAAACTTATTTGAGAGACGCTTACGTATTGCCAGATTCTAGAGTTTATTTATTTTCTCAAACCGACCAAGACGCGTGGGAGATTTGGGAAGGTTACCGAATTAGTTATAGAGAAAAAATTCGAGTGTTCCAAAGCGGAATGGCGACTACGAACAATTTATGTTTGAACGATTCAAATGCGGAGAGAATGAATTTTCGGGGCAACGTTCTAAAAGCAACTACAGTGGTTTGTGAAATTTAGTGTATAACATCATGTGTTATTGGTTGTAATATAATACAATTTGTCCTTAACTTTGCTGTGCATATACAGATTGTAGAGCCCGACAAATTTACCGGGTTCCACCCATTCGCTTACACCAACTTAGATGTATTTGCTCATATGCACAACGATTTGAACGCCGTGCTTCAAGACCAATTGAATTTCAAGTTTGATTTAATTTTTAATTTCGAGAAACCCCCGTCCCTTTTCAATTCACAACTTAAGTTCAACGTGCAAGTTTATTTTTATAGGATGGAACTTACAATAACAAACGATTATGGCTGGGACTTGGGGAACGGCTCGTTCAGTGGAATGACTGGTAATCTTCAAAGGGAAGAATGCGATTTTGGCGGTATTGGAAGTTTCATCAGATCGGACAGAATGACTGTAGTTGACTACACAGTTGGAACTTTTTACCGGCAGTAAATATTAAAATAAAATATTTTCCTCAAACATGTTTTATACAGTTAATGAATGTGAATTTTGTTCCGAAGAAATTTTAATTTACTTTATTGTACAAAATTGAAATAATCATTGTTAATTATTATAAATTTAATTGATAATTTGTTCTACTAATAAATGTTCAAATCCCCCCCCCCCCCGAAAAAAAAGAAATACTTTTTAAAAGATATTATAGTTCCGTTCTGTTCAGTTGGGAACAGTTGATTTGAACTCTTTTCAGTATCATATTCAAAACTAAGTAGTTGCCTCCGTGAATCTGTGAAATTCCATTTGCCAGTGCAAAGACTGTTAGAAATTGAACAGTGCAGTGCATTTAACACTTATGGCTTATAATATTATAAAATTAATTTAGTTTATCGACTAAAGTATATTGTATATAATTTTTGTCGACCATTTAACTATTACAGACCCGCTGCCCTCTACAAGCAACCTTCATTGTCTAGCGTCTACAATATATGCGTTTTACCATTTAACTTTGAAGTCTGGTTAGTGACGTTCTTTACGTTTCTTGGGTTTACAATCGTGATTTTATGTTTAAATCGGACTAGTAAAATAGTTAGACATGACGAAATTGAATCGATCACAATTTTAGATTCTGTCACTCTTGTCCATGGCGCTATTTGTCAACAAGGTATACACTTTGCTATTATTTTATGGTTAATTTAATAATTCAAGAATACTTTTCAGGATATTCAGTTAATTTGACCACCGCCTCTTCGAGGATTGCAGTTTTTGTATTGTTCACAACTGCAGTATTTCTATATACTTCTTATTCGGCTAGCATAGTAGCGTTACTACAAACGCCCAGCAACTCGATCAAGACTGTCGAAGACATAATTCAGTCACCCATGACGTTCAGTGCCCAAATAAGCCCATACAGTGAAGTTTATTTTGTTGTAAGTCTATCCTAAACCAAAATTTACTTTGTTTGTGGTTCCTAATGTAAAAGATTATGAGTGCTGAAAACTGTACTTAGCATTATGACTTTCCTGTTCTTAATTTGACAGTATTTAATCGAATAATTATGTGTTGTTATATCGGATAACATGAAGTTCGCTTAATTATAAATTTAAATATACAAACAAATTAGCTTAATTTATTTCAAATTCATAGAATTTGTTTTAATTGAATTGTAAATACACGAGTTCCTGTAAACAAATAGTAATTCATTTTTAGAACACAGATGATCCATTATTGCTTAAATTATATGACAAAAAAATGAAACCAAGTGGTGATAAAAAATTTACAAATGCTCTTGAAGGCCTTAAAAGAATTCAAACAGAATTTCATGGTTTTGTGGTAAAATTTTCGTTTTGTTTATTTTCTAAAATCTGCAATACTATGGCTAATTTAAGTTGTTTTAGGTTGAACTAATTACTGCCTATAAAATTATTAGTGACACATGGCGCGAAGAGGAAAAATGTGGATTGTCAGAAGTACAGCTGTTTAAATTACCAATTCTCGCATTGGCTGTAGTTAAAAAATCCGGATACAAAGATGTATTCAAACAAAAGTATGTGTTGGTCAATTTATAATCCACGTACATATTACACTTCGTATGTTAGTTTGCGATACCCAGCCAAACCTACTGTGCGCAGAGGCCTGACATTTTAAACATAGGTGGACGGAAGAGGGACTGAATGCGCCTCGAAGCCAGATTTAAAATTTTGAGCCACAAGTGAAGACAGATTGTGACAGTCACGATAGAATTTTCTCAATAGGTTTTACGGCTAAAATAAACATTGATATCATCTGTTTATTTAATATGGAGTTTGTTTGTGAATTATTATAAAAAAACACAACATGAACATGTCTTGTAGCTGGGGGTCTGTTGACGAAACCTACGCGACGCTTTTTTTGAAACCCCTTTGTAACATTTGGAGAAAGGGTTCGAGATATAGATGCATAACTGATAAGAGAAAATAAATTATTTCTGGATCCCTTATAAGATATTATTGATAAGTGAATCAGCCGATAAGAGATGTTTGGCAAGATAAAGAGCTGAAGCCACCACATATATAATTTCAGTGAAATTAAAAAGTAAAGTGAGTTATTGATCTTGCAAAATAATGGTTATTTTCAGAAGAATTAGACAAACATATTTTGCAAAAATAGTACCAATTACAACATTGTAGGTTAAGTTTTATAGAACGGTAATGAATCATAGCAAGATCGTATGGTTTATAATGTTAAGTTGTTGAGAAAAACCATTAGAATAGGAAATGTGTAACGAAAGACAGAGTATATACTATATATAAATAATATGATTGATTATGAGTGTATATAATATAAGAAATACATTATGCATGACTATAACATTTTGTAACGTGACTTTAAAGCAATAGTTAGTTGCGGAAAATAATTGTTTTATAGATTTTTATAGATGATATAAGTTCTAAAATTAAGACATTTATATTTGATTAGATTAATACAGCAACAAGAAGTCGGAATCAAGAACCGAATAATCAGAAGATGGATTCCAATGAAGCCAATGTGTGACTCGTCGAACAGAGCCAATGAGTTCGTCAGTGTGTCTTTTAATGAAGTTTATCCAATGTTTCAAGTGTACGGATTCGGCGTAGTCTTATCTGTGTTGGTTTTAATAGTAGAAAAAATTCATCAGTTATATGCAATGTAAAACCAGTACAACTCAAATAATTTATTTTTCTCGTTTAAAGATATAAGCTTTACTTTTACCACTTAACAACACTAGTTGTATTTATAATCAAATTGATAGAAACTGCATAGATAAATAAATGTGTAATAAGTCGAAGTAAGACAAGACTGGAGAGAGTGAGCAGAGTAAATAAGACATGAGGTTGGAAATTAGTTTGTAGGCAAGGTTGGAAGATTTATGATTAAAGGGTTCACGTTACACAATAATGATGGCTTTAAGGAAGATGTGAGCTTTAAGAGCGGCAATATAAATTAATATAAAGTGGAAAAAAGTTACAGTAGGACCGTAAGATAGATTGGATGTAATTAAAAGTAACTTGATGTTAGAGGACTAGAGTGTCCTACCTAAAAATATAGCAGGGCTACGAGGTAAAGTAGAAGATATTAACTATTATACTATATTAAGATATTATACTCTAATATAAGATATTCTGGTCTTGGCTGTGCTGTTATTTAACTGCAAGATACTAAACAGAAAGCTCTACTTATAAATGTCTTATCTTATTATTATAGTATATTAAGATATATCATCATGTATCATTTAATATATAGATGTAGATATTTTGATCAGTAACATTGTGTACTACTCGTATGTATAAAAACACTACAATTTAGAAAAAGGTATTTCGAATAATCAAATAATTGCTTCACCTAAAATTGAAAATGTTAACATTTTATATTATGACCATGTTCATGATAAATTATTGTACTAATAAAAATGTAATTACATAACAAAGTATTCCATATAATTTAATTTTAACACCATTTTGTACTTTTTTAACTTCAAACCCCGGATATTCCATCTAATATAGATACTCTCATCATTCAGATACAATATAATATTTTTTTTTTTATGAAAAAAGGTTGTTTAAAATAATAAAATTTAAGCATAAATTTAATCGCTTTTATCATTTACTATAACCCAAATAGATATTTGGATCAAAACATTTTTCTCGAATATGAATTAAAATTTTCCAAATGTATTACTGTTTCCAAAAAGTACTAACCTTGATTCATAAACTTACTTCCCTTCAGTTGTTTAATAATATATTATTAGCTTTTTCTAATCTATACCCTAGTTAATTATTTAACTTTAGATTTCAGTTATTATTGAATTGAAGTTAAAAAACATTTAAATACAATCTAATTAAAATTGTTTATTTTAATTTTATGAAGGTATTTTATATATTTTTAAAAGAGTTAAATCTAATAAATTAAAATAATTAGAAACTTGGTTTACTTGCACTTTGCCTTACCTTTTTAACTTAAAAGTAATTTGATGTTAGAATAAATAATGGAAATGAATAAATATTAAATTTGTTTTATTGGTATTTTATTAAATGAAAAATACTATGTTGCCTTCTGTACTATACAGTACTAAGGAATAATCAATAAAATACTGTGAGATTTTAATAATGACCTCCTTTAAATAGTTTTTGTGGAAGATCTGTGACCATATTACATAAATCAAAGACCCATCTTCGTTATTCTAACAGATGTTGGAGCAGCAAATTGTATGTTGTAATGGGAATGAAAATAATATGTAAAACGGCAGCGTTTTCTTTTTTTATTCCACTTCTTAATTAATTATCTATGAAATAAAATAAAAACCTCTGACTTTTTAAAGTATATAAATAAAACACTAGTTAGATTGTAGTCAGAGCTATAACCGTAGATATTTTCGTGAATACTTCTTGCTGTGATCGTTGTAATGACAATATTGATTTGCTGAAAAATGATTAGAGGTTATGAATTATTTACAGTTAAAAAAAAACACGTAAATTAAGCCAGTAGTTTCAAAATTTAAACAGGTATGAAACATACTTTGCGCTATCCCCTGCCTTGCCAAGTACATTTGACACACCGTATTGGACTAATTTAGTTGCGTTTGTATATGCCTTTTTTTTTATTTAAGTTTTCCATATTTATCAATATAATATTACTTTTAATTATATATGTTTTGTAACTATTCTAAAAAAGCCATGATCTAACCTCCATACCTCTCCTAAAAATACGCCACTGGACTGATATATTAAATGACCCTACAAAGGTGTGTCTTGATCACGCCCCGTCTTCTGTAAACTGTGTTTATTTCTTATTCATAAAAACCATGTTATAAGTGAATGTTTTCGCACCGAATCTACAATCATATCCATGTCAAAAGTTTTAGTTCAATAACTTACCATTGCAACATTCACGTGACAGTCGTACTCATAAATAACCGATTTTTTTGTTTTATCAACCAACAAAGCGTATTGGAATTGGGACGATCGCAGATTAGTAGTGTAAAAACCTACATAGTAAAAGACTCGCCTAATATGGGACTTATATTATGGTCACCTTAGTATCTCAGGTGAAAATTTTTTTAAAAATTCTATTCAGTAATACAAAATACATCGTATGTCTAAAAATTGAAACAAATATATCATTATAATACAAACTTCACTTCAAAGCTAATAACTGTGTAATCATTTTTAAACCAACTGCGTGCATTTTAGTTACCTGTACATTTATAGAATTTTGAACATTTTTTGTACTTAATAAATAACTTATAGTAGCTTATAGTAGCTTACAAGGAAAAATAATTGCGTGATCACTTTGGATATATTAGTTTTGACCTGGCAGTCTATTATATTATTAAAAACTATACAAAACCCTTTGATGTTTAATTAAACTGTACATGATAGCATAATTAGTGGATAATTTGTTTGACATTTAGTTGCAAGTATTACATTTAATAATATGTATTTGTATTTGTAATAGTATTTGGATCACGAAATCGTTTTTTTTATAACATGGACATTGGTATATTAATATATTGCCAAAAAATCATAATTTCTTGGTGTTGTCTATTTCGCGTAATTTCAAAATTGTCCGTGAATTTAAATTTTATTCACGTGATCATATCTTCGAGTATTTATTAATTTAAACATATTTACATATTATCTGTACTACGACCAACTTAAGAAGATGACTAGTCGCGCCGGTGGAAGAGCCTATTTTAACACTGCGTCGACGTCACGTGTTATAGTCAAAACAAAAACTAATTACACAGCATGTGCGTTAATTATAACAACGAAGAGGCGTATAGCAAATTTATTTGCTATCGGGATGTATGCACAGCTGATGTTATTTTGACGGCCAAAATTTAAACAGACAACCAGATGCCTCGAGTTTATATTGAATAGGTGTCGCGTAAAGGGGATCTGACCGAAAACGCACGCAGACATATCAGCCGCCGTGTCGTTTTCTTAAGTTGGTTACACTATAGCTATTCATTTCTATAATTACCTACTCTGTTTCACTATTATGATGGTTTTTAAATATGCATTCACACAAGTGCAACCACGAAGAGAACGAATCTGATCCAAACAACCTTGACTTTTAGTGTTCAGTGACGTGTCATTATATCCAACACTTAAAATATTTGGATGTGTCATGCGCATTTCTGTCGTTTTATTTGTGGAAATCATTTACTACGTGATTGAAAAACTATAAAATTAATAAAATAAAAAGTTATTAAACAACTATTGTAGTTTGGTTCTTTTATATAAGGGATTAATCAACAGATCTCGATTTATCTCTCCCAAAGATATTTTTACTCTCAAAATGTACAATATATTTTTTTAAATATATTTGTATCTTTTTGCATTCATATTTACATTACAAATATGATCATAATTGATATTAGCTAGCATTTTCTGTAGAACATAATAACCAATTAAAATAACCAATAATACAGTGAAAAGTAAATGCAATTTTTAATTTTGTTTTTGTAATTAATTAATCTTGTTTTTCAAAACCATCTTATCATACTAATCGAAAATTTCGGTCACGATATTTGCAATGAAAATAGTTTTCTGTATACTTAAAATTTGCATAATATAAAAATAATAATTTTTTTAAATGTTGTAAGTACTATGAAAGTAGTACTTACCCAATTTTGTTTTAGATGGCCATTATTATTATAATAATAAGCCAAGTATGTATTTTATGTGTAATATATTTTGATATGCTTGTTTAGGACAAAATTACCGCTTTGATGTCATTGTTTTTTAAGCGTTTGTCCTCACGCACTTATATTTGCATTTAATTTAGTAATTTTATCCATTGGGTATAATACACACAAAATAGCTTTAGTACATTAGACACTGAATTGGTAGTACCTACACAACTACTAAACGTCTTTGTAATCATCATTAAAACTGAAGTCTTAACTTTAACCTTTAAACCATGAATAAACGATGCTATATTCGTTGTCTAGTATTTATTATCAACCTAATGCCAGTTATTGGTGATAAGTACAATAATTTAATCAATGGACTGACGAACATGCTCAAGTACAGAAATATAAATACTGTCTGGGTGGCTACGTGTTGGGGTTCAGGTAAGTCGTTTTCGTTTTTTAAAACAAATGAGTTTAGAGGTATAAATGTCTAATACTAAATGATTTTATTCAATACATAGTAAGTGGTAATAATATATTCGAAAAAATTTAGTGTTTATTTTTTTGTAAGATCACTATAAAAAAAACACTTATTTACACAATAAACAGCACAGTGACAATCATTTCATACTAAAAATGAGCAAAAAGACTTCGATGACTCTTTTCAAGTCAAAATTTGGCAATATATAAAATTAAAAGTGAATATATACATTTTTGACCAATTAGAACAAAATTATTTTGGACATTTTTTTAGTATTTTCGTCCCAGGAAATATGTTTTTTTTTGTATTTTTACCAAATCCCAAGTACAATTTATCTGTAACGCGATATTTTATCTGTGAACTTCCTCAAATATTTAGAATTTTAACAGTATATCATGATTCCTTCGTCAAATATTTAGGATGCTAAACGATTTGAAAATGAAATTTTATTTTAAACACACAAAAGAAACGTCTTAAGGGAATATATGAGTTACGGGTTTCCATCGTTATAGTACTGTATATTTACTGGAATGAATAGGGATCGCTATGCCATATGCCGTCGACCTTAAAGTTTCCAGGAACTCAAAAATGAAAAATAGTTGTTTGTGTTTCGCCAAAATTAAATCGAACAATGAAAAAAAGCCATTAGGTATATAATATAGCTTTTATCACTAGCTGTTCCTCTAAGCCTTATAAATATAACCTTCGAATCCGATTCACTTATTGTTATAATGTCTACTGTAGACAATATATCCAGATCACATAATAAAAAAACACTTTAAACGTTCGAACGAGGTTATCACGATTAAACAATAATATTTCTAAAACAAACCATTATGCAAACATAACCACCAATAAAGTGAATAGCTCTCGACCTAAACGAAAAAGCGCATTAAATTTTATATTATATTACTATTTATACTTTATACCACTATAATTTGTATGACTTACCCATAACAATATGATCATTCGGGCTTTTTTTCTTGACTCTGATTACTGATACACTCATACACAAGAACAATATTAATCAACTGTCAATAATTGTCATTTTCAGTTAAGAGCTACTTATGTTAGTTAATAAAATGCCATATACTTACATCTTAGGTAAAAAAATAAATTATAATACATCAAAATATACACTTCTACATGTATATAACGATATATTTTAAGAAAGCTGAACCCAACAAAACACAACATAAAACTGTTGTGTTAATTGGTCATTCTATTATACTAAAGAATATACTGAACAATAAATGCATATTGTGTCCATTATTTTTGTACCTTCCTATTCAAAGTGTATGACTATAGTTGTCAATTTGTTTATAGTATGTATAAGATGTAAAAAACCCGAAATTGGATATTACAACCAATTCATGTAATATTTGTTTGTCACAGATGTAAACAATGAATTACTAACGATGCTATCGGCGGTGGACATATCTGTAGCTTTTGACCCGGAGGAAACGATACACAAGACACAATATGAAACCTGGTATAGATCCGGATTGCTAGTCGACTTGTCTTGCAGCCAAGCTCCAAGCATACTTCAACAGGTCGACTTTCGTTTAATTAATGTTGTTGTTTGTGCTGTCATGTGCATCCACTATAGTGAAATCGATCACGTATCACGTATCCGGATCTAACATTTTAGAGATTAGGAAAAAAGAGTTTACCTACTGTTTTTTGATTTTAACCTACAAAATCATTAGGTTAAACTCATTAGGGTTAATTTATTAAAAAATAAACATAACTGTTCATCCATGGGAGTAAGTAATAGATAAAGACAACATATTATTGTCAACGGTATATTAGCCACTTTAGTTGGGTGTTATGGTTAAGAACGACGTAGAAATTTACTTTTTCTATACATGAAGTATGATTACTTGTTTAATTTTTGATGGCAAACACAAGGGTTGTCGAGGTATTCATTGACACCTCTACACCAAATAAACAATTTGTTTACCTTATAATAACCCTTATTAAGGGTTTTTGAGTTTATATCTTTTGAAAACAGTGTTGACGCTCTTCATAAAAAACGAATGTGTCCCAATTTGTGTACACAACTCCTTCTGACATTATAGCGTGTTTCGATTTTCGTGTAATATGTTATTTTATTATCAGGCGTCTGACGACCGCAGGTTTACCATTCAAAATGACTGGATACTCTTCGATCAACGCGGAAATGCTAACAAATTTGATGCATTGGACTTAGCCGTACAGACATTCGATACATTTATGGATAAAGCTCGTTTGCTGCCAGACTCGAGAGTTTATTTACTAGTGGAGATCAAAGACAACGTTTGGGAAATATGGGATGGTTTCCGTTCGAAAAACAATGAGAAAATACGAGTGACCAAAGTCGGCATCTTGACACCACATCGTGCCCAAATGAACTATTCGAACTCGGAAAGAACAAACTTGAGAGGATCTGTCATTAAGTCCGCAGCTGCGGTAATTCACAAAATGATAATAATATATTCTGTAGTTAATAAGATAAACGAATCACCATATTCGAATTGTTGTAAAGTAAAATAATAAATTGCACTAGTGCCGTTATGATCAAAATTTGCTACAACAGTCTTTGGATAAATCTATCTGATATTAACAACAGTTTTGTCCGTTAGATTTTAGAACCAAAATTGTTCAGAGGATGGGGAAAGTCATTCGAATTCAGCCTTGACGTATTTGCTCATATGCATCATAACTTGGTGATTTTGTTGGCCGATCAATTGAACTTTACGTGAGTGTGCCCCCTAGGGTACCATCAGTTTTCGTTTAATAATATTTGTTTTTTTTTTTTAGTCTTGATTTGATTATTGAAAAGGATTACGGGTGGAATTTGGGAAATGGCACGTTCGGCGGTTTGATGGGAATGCTACAAAAAGAAGAAATCGAATTTGCTTGTTCCGGAGCTCTTATGAGAACAGACCGGATGGACGTTGCAGATGTTACCGTACCAACGTTCCCTGCTCGGTATTTGACAACAGTATAAAATATTTACTATAATTATTATATCTTTGAATAAGGTTTGAAGTCTTAAATTTAATGTGTACTGAATCAGAAGATTACGCACTAGGAATTTAATTTACAATTATTTGATACAAATTAATGTTGTCAAATTTCACTCTAAACAGGACGACTACTATTTTCAAGCAACCGCCGCTGTCGGCGGTATACAACGTGTTCATTCTGCCGTTTGACATTTACATATGGATGGTGATTTTAATTCTACTTTTGCTGTTCACAATAGCCATAGTATTTCTTGTGAGGTCTGCAGCTATGATGGAAAATCTGAATCTACCATTGCAATCAATACTGTTTACTGCATCGGATACGGTCATGTTGGTGATAGGTGCCATTTGTCAACAAGGTAGGCTTGGTTAGGTTAGGTTGGAAATAACGAGACTACAAAGATACAAATGTGCACACAAAAAGTTTTAACTGAAATGTCGACAATAATGATAAGAACATAGTGTGGTTTCGGAATGAGGGAAGTAGAAAACAATGCCATTAATTAAGATAGAATGTTGGCTAGGAAATAATGAGGAAATCTGAGATGATAAAAAACTAAGATCTATGTCACATAAAAAGCTAGTAATAACTAGTAAGTTTTGTAGTAAACTGTGAAAAAAGGCATCATGTCGGTTGTTTTCTATGTAATAAGCGGATAACAATAGACTAAAGTATTGAACGATGCAAGTTCTATATTTGTCCCTAGCTCTCTGTTGATGGATAAGCATGTTGGACAGTAGATAAGAAGAAATAACAAAATTGATTAAACGGAAAAGAGAATGTTATGGTTAAGAGTAATGTGTACATAGGCGGTAGCATAGATATTACTTAAATCTTAATAGTTAAGAAAAACTATTTAAGAGTTGTATGGACATGTTAAGAAAAGAGAGGACTATAAAGCAGTAAAAGCGGCATCATGCAGAAATTGTGATTGGATAAATAATAGTTTGGTGCTACGGATGACTAGTATAAGGGGGTTGTGACTTGTGGATAATCTGTTTGAATGAAGATCAAGGGCGTTTGATATAAAATAGATTAAAGTAATAATGAAGCATAAAGAATTTTACACTTTATACTTTATTACTTTTTTGAAGGTACCAGATTATATTACGCTATGCCTGGTTTATGGATATTACGGTTTCAATTAAAATTAATGATACATATATATTATAAACAGCATTGCAAGAACAAATTTTTTGTTTTTATAAATTAGTGTTGTAATGTAGTGAAAACTGTTGTCTAAAATAAAAAATGTTTCTATCAAATGTTCATGATTTCATATAATTAATAGGTACGCCAACCATTATAAATACAACTTCATCGCGACTAGCCGTGTTCGTGCTGTTCGTGACTGCTCTCTTTGTATTCACATCATATGCGGCTAGCATTGTTGTATTGCTCCAAACTCCAAGTCAGGCAATCAAATCCATCAAAGACTTAGCAGAAACGTCTATATCGTTTAGTGCATTAGACACTACACATAACTACATCTATTTCAATGTTAGTTTACTTATTGATTAAATATAGTTTAAGAAATAAACGTATCTGCTTCTTTAATTATTGTGTTTATAGTATACTAGTAGTAGGGCGAAAGTATCGCTTATCATTTTTTATTTTATAAAAATTATTATCAATACGTTTTGCTTTTAATTGATATGGTTTAAACTTCGCAAATGTGTGCATATTTATATATATACGTTTTGATCAAGATTAAATTTTTTTTTTTTACTCTAAATTAAACATGAAATATTAATCTATGTTTTGAAATTATACATTATCATGTTATTGATGTTGAGCATGTTAATCTTGTTTTCACTCTGTTACACGCACTCGTGCAAGTCTATCGATTTATCATCACTGTTAACAGGAAACAGACAACCAATACGTTAAAAAAATTTACCGAAATAAAATGTTACCAGAAGGTCAGAAGAAGGCTTTTACTAAACCTGACGTGGGCATGGCCAGAGTTCGTAATGAATTTCACGCATACCTAGTAATGATTTCGTTCATAATTATTTATACTTTATGTCTGTGATACCAGAAGTTATTTTTTTTTTTTTCACTTCAATTCAACTCATTTTTTCTATGTGAAAAACTTGGTGACTTCATTAAAAATATGATTTCCCAACTTTTAACTTAATAATCTTAAACCCAATAATAAACAGATATTTACTTTCTGCCACATAATAATAAATGATCTCTGTTAATTTTTTTTTAATTAGGGTGGAGATTCCTTCTTTGACCATCTCGTTTTATGTTAAAATTTAATAATAATTAGTGTTGTCATATGAATGAGAAAATGTAACTGGATCAAACTATGACTGAACTCGTATTAAACAGTGACTACATTATACTTACAAATTAAAAAACAAAGTGACCCTAGTAGGAGGGGTCTCCTCCCTATTTACACATTTTGTATGGAAAAATATAATTTTTATTTAATTATTTTTAATACTTTCTTGAATTTAACAAAATTTTTAAATTGAAATAATAACGTTTATTTTAGGTAGAAGCAACGTTCGCTTATGATATAGTAGCCAAGACTTGGCAGGAACAAGAAAAATGCAGTTTGTCCGAACTGGAACTGTTTAAACTGCCCATGCTGACGTTGTTTATCGTGAAAAAATCAGGGTATAGAGATATAATGAAGGAAAAGTACGTTTCACAACCTATTAAATAGACTAACTCACTTTCATAAAATAGGATTTGCAAAAGTGGGTATCAAATCTAAGCACTAACAAGTTACAAAGTTAGAATAATCAATTGAACAAAATATAAGTATTTTAAAGTAATAAACAAACTAAATAACCGACCAATGCCATCTTTTCTTATAGACTACTATTTTTATAATAACAATTAGGTATTATTTGTGTGTAAATATTTTTAAATATAACTGTTTTTACACAACACATTTTTTCAATCTAAATACTAAAGCTAAATAATAATGTTCTGAATTTTTATACTCGATGCTTCTTAAAAAAAGTGCTTCTTTATTAATAAACTACTTTTATAAGATACAAGAAGTGCAAAAAGTGAAATCAAAATCCATATTTTGGTTACCTTGGAAACTTAACCGATGTGCGTTTGTTAACCATGTTATAATAACTATTTGTGGATTACACTATCGTTATACACAAACACTTACTAAATTTTTTAATTTTAGGTTAATTAGGCAAAATGAAGTGGGACTAAGGAACAGAATTTTCAAAAAAATGATGCCACAAAAGCAAATGTGTGATTCTTTAAACAGGGCTATCGAATTCGATAGCGTCTCGGCCAGGGAAATTTTTCCAGCACTAATTTTGCTTGGTTACGGCATGTGTGTATCTCTTCTTGTATTTGTCTTAGAACTGACGTATAACGCCAGAGAGACTTGGCGAAAAAACCAGCACTATTTTTGAAATATAAGTTATCAACGTCTTATAAATCATGACTAACAGCTGTATCCATTTGGAAATATTATAAGAGCATCAAACCTCTGAAATAATCTAGTATACAAAAATAATTTGTAAAAAAACTCAACGTGTATTTTTTAATGACTAAAAACCAAAGATAATAATACGTTTTTACTGAAATTACCGATCAACAACATATAATTGTTTAACCGATTAATTAAATGAAACCGATGGGTAATAACTGTTAATATGTCTTTCATAAAATCACTAATTACTAACTTTTTATATTCATACTTATAAAGTACTTATAGTTTATAAAGTCTATTTTATTTGTCCAAATTTTTGGTTATTATTTTCAAATACGGTTTCTATAAATATTGCATACTCGACAATATTACAATAAACAAAATATAGTAACTATTAGATTTCAATGATTGAATTCAATTTATAAATTTAAAAAATGTGTACCTAATCCTTTCGAAACGCCAAAATATGAACTTAACAGTTAACAAATCTTAATAATAATTCTGATCTAATATGTTTGTCGTGTAATCATTGTTATGTGTTTTATTAGAAAAATATACTATTTTAATTGAAAATTAATTACTTTTTATAATGTTATTGCTTATAATGTGATGATTCAACTAATTAATTAACCATAGTCTTAGGTTGTATTTTATTACTTCAAACGCCACAAGTAAAAATGTGTTTAGTGTATAGTTTCATTAGCAAACCATTTTTATGTTTTAGCCTCACGTGAATTTATTTTGCTAAAGCGGTAGAAGTAAATACTGTAAAAAAATATATTATTATTTGATCAAGCCGTCCCGTTCAGTAAAGTAAATTACGTATCTTATAGTTTGTAATCCAAAATAATTATTAATGCGTTCGATACATCGACTCTTAATTCTAAAAATTAAAAAAAAAATATCATAATATAGACACAAAACTAATGTCAAGTGTAAGTTCTTATTTTTTCAATTATCCTGCAACCAAAGGCAGGTTAATAGTTTCAAACACTCAGTGTGGGACCTCTCCGTCTTAAATCGTTGCTGCTATATAAAATCATATTGACACAGTTCAACGGCGCGTTTACATAGTTCGGATCGTGTTCGTATGAATTCGATATGGTGCTGCACGAGCTACTCGAGTCTTCGCCGGAGCCTTAAATATATTTAATTAATGTTATTAGGTGTCCAGTTTAAAAAAAAAAATGTTTTATCACTTTCGTCGTCGCCTTCGTCACCCGAATCGTGGGAGACCAACGATACCGTTACAGTGTGGTAAACCGAAACTGTCTGTTTTTTAAAGATTCTTGGACGTTTTCTTTTCTTCGGCAATTTATTGATTTTATCTTGATTTTCATCCGAACTATCTCTTAAACAAATATGGTACACGATAATGCTATTACATAATAATATGTGATTGGGGGAGCGGTCATATACCGACCCTGTAGTCGTTACGTTTAACCCATCCAGTGTATGTCGACCCTTCACTCTTCAGCGATCGTTAAATTCACACATTTTTAGAAGTCAGTAAAATATTTATTTATTTCTCGTTATAGTTTATTGATAATATTATACCTATTACAATAATCCATGTAAGCCCCAACACTCATAAATCAAGATGACATTTACAGTTCCCTAACAGCACTAGCATAATGGATACTCCTACGGTCACCAAAGGTCTCCGATAAATTATTACAGTAGGATAGTGGATAGGTAGTACAAAACGATTTTGCATAAGTTCAATGGACTTAATCTAATAATTGATATCATAATAAACCATAACAGGAGTACATACTTTTCTTCACTTATGTCAGTCGCGTCTCCATAATCAATCGGTTTCTTGCACAGGGTACATCGGTTGTTAATGTCTGCGAAACATTTGGAACAATAAACTCCTCTGCAATTTTCGTTTTCACATTTCATCATATTGCCTTTTTTAAAGTCCGAATCTTTGGCTTTGTAACCGCACAACAGACAAACTATTTGTTTTTTGCGTCGCCATATATGCTCAAGAAATGGATATCTAAAAAATGAATAAATTGCTTAAGGGAACTAGTACTGTTGGAAGCATAAGAAGAAAAAAAAACGTCAAAGGTTCGGAAATGAACTTTTTTTTTTTAAATAATCATTTTACGGTAAACAAATCATTTTTTTAAGTGCAATTACTTAACGGTCGACATCTTAGAAAACAATAATATTGTATCCTCGTGATTTTTTAAAAACAGTCCTATACAACAATAGCATAATGTTATTATTACTTTGAATAAACATAATCGAGAAACGAAGGATCGGCAGATGTCTCGGCGGTTCCGTCCAAGCCGAATTTTCTTCGCAGAAACCGACGGGCAAACGTAATGAAATTAATCCTTCTTCGAAGAATGCGATTATGAAGCCATACCGCTCTGGTCCTGGCTACGTCCGGGTGATAATATCCCATTACGTATGACCGAAATCGCAAACCGTACGGTTGCATTATCGCCAGAAACCACGTCAAAATCAACACGGTGGCTATGGAAAACCCGTTTTCAAATCAAAAAATATACATTTGTCCATATCTATTTGTGATCGTTTGAAAACATATTTATCATTTTTTTTTTCAATTACTGTATGGGTTACCCACAAAGATGATTTCAAAGTCACCGGTTTTGACAATATTTGTTTTTCACTTCATACTTTTTAAAAATATACACACCAACTCAATTAATGCACTTACGGATTTCATAAATATGTCACTATTATTTAAAGTGCCTATACATGTGTGAAAAATATTGCTTAAATTACGATTGAATGTCGTACTGATCTGCCGGTAACGATGATAATCCGGCGGTAATGGGTTCGGTAGACATTTCATTGTGTCCATGTCCATTTGATTGGCCACTGGTCGAAAGGTGTGTATTATAGTCCTGTACAAATCGGCTAACAATCCGTCGCCTTCGACATTCACATCGAGCACACTGGGAGCTAAGAACTTTCGCCGTTTATTAAGATGACGTTATTGTACCCCCGACAAAAAAAAAATAGAGATTCACATACGGTCTAGTTGTGACGATAGTCTGCCATATTTCCTGACAGTTCTGAGTATCCAATAAAGGCTGTAGTCGATTGCCATTTGTACGGTAATTTTAAACGTAGCCAACACCAATACGGCCAAAGATCTGAACAAAGCTGTCTTTTCCGTGGACAACAACCGAATGGAAGTTCTCTGCAAAAAATTACCGTTCGGTTTAAGTGCACTATGTAGCACTGGGTTAATCGGGAATTCATAGTTTAAAATTATTCCGTTTAAAAGAAAAGTAATTTAAATTGATTTTAATGATGGTAAACTTCTCAACTCTTTCTCGTTTAGCCTTGTTTTTTAGTGTCTTATTTTAGCGGCAATCAACGTTTCAAAAATGCATGTTGTGCAGCCTACCTCGATGTATCTATTCTTTTCGAATCTCGTCAATGGCATGATGGTTGGTCGTTCGAGGATTAACTTTCTTTCGTCGAGTTCGTATAGTTCTTGTGTAAGGTACTTGTTATCGAACGAATCGGTCGTCAAATATTTGCGTCTGTACTGCCACGCCCTTATATTATGTCAACATAATATAAGACACATTCAAATGTGCTGAAAAGCATAATATGATGGGAACACGCACTTGAAGAAAACGTAAAGGAAGAATATCGAAAAAACCGATCCTGCCCAATCGAACAGAAAAAATGCTTTTTCTATTCTGTACTTGATTTCGGTTATGATGTTACGGACAACGTCACTGGTCATCTTACTTGGCTTCGACTCGAATGCGAACGAATGCTGGTAGTCGATCGACACGTAGAACATGTTCTTCATGTGTCGCACATAATTCTTTAAACCTGTAACACGTGTAGACCATCTTTACCGGGCTCGACCAAAAATTGCATAGCAACACTCACTGGCCCTTATGGCGCCAAATATCGATTCGTTGATGAACTCGAAAAATTCGCAAAGACTGTCTAGGAACTTGACCGTGTAGCAAACGTGCGAGATCACATAGGATATTGAACACATCCAGCTCAATGAAGACGGCACAGTAATCTGTTTAAGAAAAAATTATTCGAACGTTTTCAAATTCCATAAGGAATACAAATGATTTTAGTACCTAAATGCCAACGACAGAAAAAAAGTTTAAAAAGTACCTTACAAAACGTTTGTATACAATTATAGTTTAATTCGTCGGCAACTAATGATATTATATCATTACACGCCAATGCCTTATTGTATTATTCAAATAGAATATGTACAAGTAGTGTAGTTAAGTTAAAAATCGATTAGAAATTAAAAAAAAAAAAAAGTTCGTGTAGATTTTGAGTAGTCAAATGTGTTTCAGCGAAATCTCTTACCTTACAGTCTTCCAGGGCGTTATCGAAGACTCTAGTGCACCTCTGAAACGGTGTACCGACTTTTTTATTGCATATACTCATAATGCTATACAACCATTCGTATGCCACTTTAATGGTTCGAACTAAACCATTTACACATAAAAAATATCATTAGTATGGTATAAAAAATACATAATATGCACATGTGGTAAGAATATTTTAATGTGTACAACGAAAAAGTTATACACATTATGTTATTATAGTTATAAAAAAATAAAATTGTATTTAAAATTATTATACTGTAGCAGCACTATATAGTATCCAAAATAGTCGGACGGTGTTTTGACATTTTTTTTTTCTTTTTCACTTAAAAAGTATATGATATTTCAAACGGTTAACTAGAAGTTAAAACACATAAAATCGAAGCGTTTTCTTGAAAGTAATTCTATTAAGTTGAATATCTAATTTAGCTATTATCAAATAAGTAATAACGGATAAAGCTAACCAAAAAATTCTAGAGCTCACCACTTAACATATCGGCTGTACACATAAACGAACTCGAATATTGCATGTACATAACACGTCCTATGTTATTATAACTGTGTATTCATGGTGCTTTATACTCGTTAAATTAATGTGATAGTTGATAGTGACTGTACCCATTGTAAATTATCTAACGTGGACCAACAAGTCCGGAGATCAAGGCGGCAAGTAGTTAGGAGGTGGTATTAAAAAAACTACTTCCAAGAAAACCCTTCAACGTAAGTCTTTGGAAAACCAACCATTTTTGGTATCTACTGTAGATATTGGCTTTTTTACCGTCAACACTCCACATTATCAAAACATGAGAAGCTTTCACAATAATATAAGTATGTTTGGGATTTCTTGAAATTAGTAAACAAGCTCAACGGAATAGTACAAAATATAGCTAGACAATACTAGTTATTCCAAGATGATAAAAAATAAATAAAAAACATTGATCCTCAGCATTATGGAGAGTTTCCTGCGACAACACTATCATATCGACGACATGTTCAATAGCGTAGTTAACTGTACAAATTCTAGAGGATTACAAGAAAAAACCCGAGTACGATAATAGTAAGTTTAACGATTGCCGGGAAATGAACAAATACGTACAGAATACATACAATAAAGATTAAAGAGCGTAGGATTGTTTCATTCAAGTCTGGTTTTCTTATAACAGAGGTGTTTCTTTTTTTTTTTCGGGGAATATAAAAATAAATTGTCTGCGAATGGCAAAAATCTACTCGAGAGACGTTACCAATAAAAACTCAAAAGTCTCGTTATGATTCCAAACAGCGTGGGCGAATTAGAAGTATCTTTTGGTTATTCTGACAATGACAACGGCCACGACATAACTTAACTACTAACCTAATTCGGCCACTGTGTTTTTGACGGCCAACATTCCTTTTTTCATTTTCTCCACCATCGCGGCCAGTTCTACTTTTATCCTCGCTAACGATGACCGGATTGCTAACAACGGCCGCTTAATGATTTGCACTATCGCTCGAATGGCCGACTTGATCTCGTCCTGTGCAACATTATAAGAATACACGAACGATAGATATTGTAATATATGTTATAGGCATTCATTGGTTATATTATGTTACAGCAAGAGCCATTCTGGCAATAGATAAGCATTTTTTTGTTATATCAAATTGAACGCTATACTTGTAGACACGTAAGGGATTCTGATAGCACTCCTGTGTTGTGCATGGTGTTTTTCGAAGGTCCGGCGAAACACAAAATAAACGCATACACGAGCAAAGCATGTCGACCCCTTTCCGAAAAAAGTTGCGGCATCACCATCATAAAAACACATCTAAAATAATAAGTAAGTAGATAGGTACGTAATAAAAACATAACGTATATTGACTTTTCGACGAAACCGCTTCAATGGTCCGATGTCAGTCGCCTGACTTATATAGGACTTAACGAGCATATGTATACATGTTGAATTGCATAACTAAAACGCCGTTTTATTATCTGTACCTGCAAACCGAAGAAAACGCTAAGCCCAGCGTCAATACACTTCCCATGACAGCACTCACAATCGTGGCCTTGGTGTATGAATAATTTAACTGCAATAGCAGAAATGTAAACACCACCATAGTTATTAAAACGCCACCTGAGTAAAAACATTAATTTGATCATTTATTAACATGGATAAAAAAATGAAAACAATATTTGTGTTACATGTTATGTAAACAGAACACAAAACATGGCGACGTATTGGGATGATTAATAATTACTTATAAAGCCAACGGTGGATTTAATTATGAAGTTAAAGAACGTCCCGTGAGTTACTATCGTTTTCTTTATCGTGGCTAATTTAAATATTGTCTTATTTTCTTTTTTGACCACGCATAGTTTTTTAATCCATATACACCAGACAAAACTGGAATGACGAATACAAAAAACAAAATGCAACATTACCGCGTGAGTAAGCGGTCAATTCATTAGTCGACAGTAATATACTTGAGCAAAAAGTTAACCAGACGATCGGTAAGAGAAATTTTTGGTTTTCTACCTTTTAGCCTGTCTAATGCGTATTTCTTTCGTCTCAAATAGCTCTTAAAAATAAATTTTAACAAAAAAGTCCGAAAAAACCGGATACAAAACATTATACTCTATTTTTAACTGATAAGAAAATAAGATGGCTTATACGAAAAAAAAATGTCTTTGTTGAGAAATATATATAAGCAACTGTATAATTTATTGAAACACAATTAACTGTAAACTATAAAAACAAACAAAATAAAAGCAACTTTATTATTTTTTCTTACAGTATGTTAAATTTGTATGACTATTATTATTATTTATAGTGATAACAAAATATTACTGTATATTAACATAGCAACTAATAAACAGCAGACACACAATCACATGTGGATTATGTACATAGGTCTTGCTTACACTATTTATTATCAGATGTCAAATTATTTGTAATAATTATGTTACAAAAAAAAATGTATGTGTTAACAAAATTCGCGAATTTGTAATAACTATTAAGGTCTTCGTTTTGTTGTAAAGCTGATAAGAAGGTTTTTAAAGCAACAATGAAATTTGTTAGTAATTAATTACCTAAATAAAATTATTAAACTCCATTTAGGCAATGGAAACATTTTTTCGGTTAGATTTATAGAATAAAGAAAAATTGAAATAAAATAATAAAGATTTCAAGTATGTTATAAGCATGACTAATTTAATGAAACAATATTTTTATATGGTAAAATCCAATTATTATATATTATTGATTATAAAATTTAAATAAAGAAAAACTTGTTTATCTGAAAATCTCAATTACACATACTACATATAATTATTGGCTACTATTAATCTCCAAGCTTGACAATTTTGTAGTCAGTTTGCTCTGGTCAGACATTCCAATTCAAGGTTTTGGCCAGCGAGCTAAACCAGTCAGTTATTTGATTTTCAGAATTTATCGTCGGTACCGGATACACGGACTTCGTTATATATAAACTATAAATAAAAATAATTTTAATTTCATATAAAAACAAAGTTTATTGTAATCGAATGAAAAAACAATTCGTCAGTGTACATTTTTATCAGAACACTATTTATCTCCATTCAGTTTTAAGAAAGTACAGTTAATTAAAGCAAAACCCATAATATTAATATTAAGAAATTATAATTATTAAAAACCACTTTGGTGACTTACCTATCACCTATTCTTAACTCTTGATCATTTTTATTATCAAAAACGACAGAAACATTTTCACGTGATGCAGGATGCAAAGTAATCTGTAAAAAGCATTCAGACATACTGATTCTGTTTATTGTATAAAAGCCTTATTTAAAAAAGATAATTCCTTCATAAATCAGCAATTAGAACACAATTATTTAAAACAAATCACTTCTTTACCACTCCAATTTATTACTTTTGAAAAAAATTTGTTTATGCCGAACACCAAATACGACACTCAGATTGTATGGTCTAGCTTGATATTCCTTAAACCAATCATAATTTGTAAAAGCAAAAAAAATATCCTAATGCTGATTTACAATAGGATATATTTTAATTTTTGAAAATAATCAATATATTAGTATTAAAAGTTTACTTTTAATTCACCATCTAGTGGCACCATTATCGGTCTAGACGTCAGTGAATGAGAACATATAGTAGAAATCAAAATAGCCTGAACACTTGGGTACAGTAATGACGCTCCTGACGATGCTGAATATGCAGTACTTCCAGTTGCCGTTGATATAATTAGCCCTGGAAATAGAAGTACAAATAACACATAAATATTAATAGGTGACACACACTGTTATAATTTAATGGTAACAGTAAAATATTTAGATTGCATTTATAAATAAAGTAAAAATATTTAAATACCATTGAATACAATATTTAAAGTATAAATATTGTACACCATTTTGTATTTCAAATGATATGTTGGACTGCTTGTCATTTGAAGATAATATAGAAGACATTGCGGAGTGAAAATAAAGGAAAGTACCAAATTTGTAAAAACGAGTATAAACATGCTGCATAAATAACTGTGTATAAATTAAATTTGAAATACGTTTCACTCTTGGTAAGAATAATTTGGCAATTTATTTTTATATTGGATTACCCAAGGGCCCGAAAAATGATTTGCCTTGAACCCCTTAAAGTTCACATCCGACCCTGTTACATATTGTTATTTTTAGACTTGCCCCGTTATTCATAAAAAAAAAAAACTATAACAATATTTTATTTAAAAGATGGGTCCAAAAACGCTTACCATCTGCTTGCACATTTGTTACAAAATACCCATCATGATACACATTTAAATTGGTAAGACTGCTCGATATACGTCGCATAGCTACATCATTGAGCACCGTAAAATGTATGGGATGTTCCATAAGATCATCTTCCTTTTTAAAAAGCTTGCATGCGATTCTATCTCGACGAAATATCGTTGCACACCCTTCAAGAACTTTAGTTATGTCCTTTTGAAAATGTTGAATTGAAAATGGCGCTAAAAAGCCCATGGAACCTAAATTAAACGATATAATTGGAGGTACAGTTTCCTAAAAAAACATAACAATTCAAATTATAATAATACATTTTAGTTATTGGAACGTTATTAGTACATACTTGGAATAGACTACAAGTATAGAGTAATGTCCCATCTCCGCCTAAACAAATAATGAAATCAATTGTGTCTTTCATAATAGCATTATCGTTTTCGAAACACGACAATTCTTGTCTGACTGCCGATAATTTTAAGTTATTGATAAGTATAAGGTCGTTCGCCACAGCTTTTTCAACAAATACTTTCACCCTTTTTTTCTACAAACATTTTACGTAATATAATTACAAGCCGTAATCTATAGTTAAAATTATATATTTGTTTTTACTTGAATCAGCCATATAATAACGTCAACTAATGCATTTACGGCACCTTCATCATCTTTTTTTTTCACCACTAAGACAGATAATTTTTTCCTGGACCATGTTAATTTCAGATCTTTCGATAGAAAAAAAAATTAAATAAAAAATAATTACATACTGTTTACAAAATGAGCATTATATTGCTATAGTTAACTTTCATGCAAAAATAAAAGAAAACAAAAAAATATAAACTTAATAATTTACTTTTTTTATTTTTTATTAGTATTTACTTAAAACATGAGATTTTGTTTTAATCTTTAAACATTTTTCACTGTAATATGAATACATTTATATACAGGTAAGTATAGTTTTTTACAACATTTTTATTTATGTTAATGTTATAGTCGTATCATAAAATTACCATATGTATATATTTATGATGTGCTTAGGACCCGGACTTATTCAATTACACTTTTTTTTGTAATACGATCTTTGGCTTCACAAAAATTTAGTTTTTAAAATCAACTTTTATTTTGTATTTTTCACAAAATCTAGGCTATAGGTGTTTTTTAGTAATCGTAGTACATTCAATTTATTCTTCCGTATTTTTTAAGGAAATATTTACATTTTATATTATTTGAAGTCAGATGATATAAAAATTATTTATAAACATGTATGTAACAAAATACATTTTAGATTTCTTACTAAAAAAAACATTGCATACTTTTTGTTATAAAAAAAAAGTTTTAAAAGCTTTGCAATCTGCATACGTCTGTCATAGACACAGTTGTTAATATTGCTATAAAAATAATTTAAGAGTTTTTTAAGTAACTTGAGTCATTTTTTAATGCATTTTTAAAAGATATCTATGCTTATGTTTAGAACATATTATTTACCACAGTCTGTTGTTTCGCTGTAACCTACAAAAAATAAATATATTAGATAGGATACATTTTATATTAGGTAGGACTTATACATAACTATTTCATATTGAAGAGGAGAAAATCAGGCTTACAGATCTTTTTTTATTGTCAAACAACTTTTTTTTTTTTTGCAGATTTTGTAATTTTCAACATGAACACGCTATGTTCTTACTGTACAGATTTATACTGTGCTTGATTCCGACTACTGGTGTAAGGTTTAGAGTCTAATCCTTACAGCAGTAGTCGGAACTTAAGACTGAGCTTATAAACTGTGCTGGAATCTTTCTAACTACAAACTCACAATGAAGCGTTTAGTTGTGATGTATTCACTTTCAGATTTAATAGTTCCTCTGACCCAACTTTGTTAATTACTTACTGTAAAATTTATACTGTGATGATTTTTTTAAATGTAATTTAAAAAAATATGTATATTTTTTTTTAATTAATAAAACAATTATTATTTTACTGAAATGCATACAGTAATTACTATTACAAATAAATATTACTTTTATTAATAGTTTAATTCAAATTATATTTTTTCCCTGTGAGTACAGTATAATTATAATAATTCGTGGTAAATACTTAATAATAAGTAAAACTTATAATATTTTTTAATCGATTGGTCAAACCAATATAAAAGAGAGACCACGTGGCACGTAATACTGCATAAAACAGCACAGTTAACACAGTTAATAATGATATGAGCGTGCGGGCACAATGACGATTAATGCCAACGTCCCGCATTGCTTTTATAGTGTTTTTTTTTTGCTTGAAAAGTTAATACTGATATTAATATTTATAGTCTTTCATAATGATACCTTCAAATTGACCAATAACTTTAAAAATTAAAATTGATAGCTAATAAGTACTTTAAATTGTCAAGAAATGAACAATGAATAAAATATATATCTTACTATTTAAGTTCCAAAAGTAATTTATAAAATAACTAACTTAGAAAGGGGGTAGAACTATTAAGATTTATGAAAAATTAAGATTACATTGTATAAAAACATTTCGGAAAAAAATTATTTAAAAACTAATAATTATGTGTTATTGCGTGGCTCACTTAAAAAAAGTCACTCTGTATGTATATAATATACATATGAAAGTTTTGGAATATTTTAGCCTAAAGAAAGTGCCACTTATTATTACTGTTATACGATTTGACAACGTTGCACGAAAAATCGTTCGCAATCGTTTGTTATTGGGTATAAAATAGTTTTTCTTTTATCTTCCGACAATCGTTCGCAAAAGTCAAAACGTTCGCAATCGTGTACCACCGATTTAAGACATGCCTGATATGTTATAATGGTAACAGGATAAATACATTTTGAGATCTCGCAATCTTTAATTGTCTATAAATTATGCAAACCAAACGCGAGCGGCCTAACATTTTTGCAACAAAGTAACTTTGTAAAATTTATAAATGAATTAAGTTATACATACTCTAAAATAAGTTTAAAATTGTATTAATTAGAGAAAAACGCAATAATTACAAATATATACACAAATAATTATATTTACCACAAAAAGCGGTCGATAAAATAGTCCCTGCTATTAGGAAATAGGAAATAATACTCTTCATTCTGTAATTTTTTAGATTGGTTATTTTATATGTCGTATTATACCGTCGTCTTTCACTGAAAAATATAAGAATACTGAATAATATGTTATATCAAAAAAAAAAATATGATATGAATTATTATCAAAATTCACCAACGTATATTCAGCTACAGCTGTATCACGTCACAAACATAGAATATTCCCACTTTTTATAACGTTTTTATATACAAATAATGATACGTTTTGGCTTTTAAGCTAAAATATTGACATTGTGTTTTTATTACATTAGGAATAATATACCATACGAATTAATAAATAAAAGGTAAAATATACGACATAAGTAAGCAATACAAACAATTTTTTGTTTAACTTAAGTAACACGTGACATCTAGAAACCAGTAAACTAGTTTAGTCTTATAAATATTATACTAAATTTGAGAATAATACAAATTGTATATATGTTTTAACTCGCTTCCAAACTTATTATTTTTTCACCAACTTTTAAAACTTAAATGGTAACGTACATATTTTATTAACTTTTTAAATTATGAATATGTTACTAAAAATGTTGACTTGGTGACAACCTATTTTGAACAACTATTTTTAAAGTTATGAGTTTAAAAGTTAGGACGGAAGAGGAAGCGCTCGCAGATAAAAATAATACTACACTCCATCTTTCCCCTACCCTAAACTTGAAACTTAAATAACTTCAGATATAGTTATACAAAACTGGCCAGTCAAAAGTTTAGCACATTATTATCAATTTATAAAGTTAATGAAATTACCATTCAAGTTTGAAAAGTTGGTATAAAAATAATTAGTTTAAGAGAAGGGTAGTAACATAAAAATCTGTGGAAAATTAAAATCACAGTACAGTTAATACTATTAAAACAAATTAAATTATTTATAATTAAACCTACTGAAGTATTGTTTGGCTAACGATAAAAAAATTACTCTGTATTGAGGTCTGGTAGGTTACTAGCCTTAAACAATTATTTTATCTGACAGGGATTAAATTAATTTTAAATCAAAGCTTTGCTATGAAACCGTAAATGATAAAAAAAAATATAATATGTATAAATCTTTTTGTACATAATTAATGGGCTCAATATCATGTCATTTAATTTATTGAGTTTTCCTCGATAAAAAATCGTGATAACAATAATACAATTTAGTTTATACTTTATTCAGATTTCAGTCGTGCTCGCGATTAAAGATTATGTGGTTGCCCGGCGTACACTAAAGTATTCTTAGTAAATCAGACAGCTTTGTGGCGCTCTCTATTAGTTGAATTTTGAAACTATCAAACCATTTGGATATGCTATCGCGCCAATTTCAAATTTTGATAATTAAAAAATGTACAATAGCCTAATAGATAATAGGTATTTGAAGAGGTATCAAAAAAGGATTTAAGTGCCATTTTTTCCAAAAATTATTTTTTCAACCAAAAAGGATGTATGTTTCAACGCTAATGCAACGCAATAAGGCAGACATTTCTTCGTCGATTTGCACTTACAGCCTTTTTGATTCCACTCTTCATTTATGTTTTTAAATAATATAATGAAAATAATTGATAACTTTATTATATTATATTATTATATAATATGTAATAATATGATTTATTTAATTTTCATTAATAAAGAGAGAAAATGTCAATTTTCTTCGATTATTTTTGATTTTGATAAAAAAGTTTACTTCTGCACACGATTAAAGATAGTATTGTTCCTTTATTTTTTAAGATTATAGACAAACATGATTATTTTACTCTTTGACTGCGGCATAATGTTATGATGTAAATATATCATCTAGTTTGCCATTTTCCTTTACATAATTTTATTATTTTCTTTTTAACATTTAATATGACTTGATGTAGCTGTCTACCGTACAATGTAGCTAAAACTACTTTTGGAGTCATTAAAAACGGTGTAGAAACACATAAATAGAAAAAAAACTTGCGGTATGATTTAAAAAAGAGGCATAGAGTGTGTGCCACTCATTTCAGCAACAGTGATTAAACAAGCACTCGGACAGGCGTGTTTACTTCATCCCATAAGGGGGGGGGGAATAGAATAAAACAAGAGTTGTGTAAGACGTCAATAACACATAAACGTATAAATTATTGATTACTACATGTCCATCTTCATATAAGCGAAGACTATTTTCTTTTAAACGAATCTGACCAGACAGTATCTACTAGATACGTACACAAATAAATATCCAGAGGGGCGATTGCCCCGTCGTCCCCCACCCTTGAAAACGCCCCTCTTGGAACTCTGATTTAGTCACCTATCTATAAGTTATAAGTACCTTTAGATAACTGTAGAGTTAATATGCTATATTAAGTTTTTATCTATATTTGGCTCACAACCCATACAAACGTTCCAAATCGATAAAATTGTATGCATCAGGCTTAAAAAAAGAAAGATAGATAAATAGAAATCATTAATACATCATTATGTAAAGTACAAATAATTATTAATTATTATTGTTGGCATGTAAATAATTTTCAACGAATTGCTTATTTGATAATTAATTTAGTAGTTATTATATCAAATACTATAAATTATGGGTAGTATAATGTAGTAAAGTATATACCATGTATATTTTTGTAAAATGTATAAATAATTTTTATTATTTAATTACATAGGAGGTATAATTTTAAATATTATTATGAATTACGAATAATTAAACTTGTCTGCAGTGAAGTAGTTTATTGGTAGAGCGCGCCACAAGTTTGTCCGAAAAGCAACAATAAAAAAAGTTTATAAAAGTGTACCTTTAATTTTTTTTATAGTCCTACTTCGTGGCAGCTTTTTTATTGCACGTTGACCGTTGGACAACCATATTATTATCTTTAAATGTGGTCGTGCTTGTGCCTAGACATATCGAAATAAAGAATAAATAAATTCTTTATCTCGATGCCTAGACATGAGTTTTCATTTTAGTAGTGATAAGAAGTGATAAGATATACACATTTTTGCATTAAAATAATAAACATTACTTATTAGTTATTAATATTGTAATTTGTGTTTGTGATTATTTTATATTTTATCTCGTTTTACTTTTTATATTATTTACCCAAAATAAATTTATTTAAATAATTAAACCTTATGAATTGGTAAACAGCTGATTGTTTTACTAATCTAACGCTAAACACTGATAAGAGAAAACTTCTTAAAGTCACATAATATCATCAACCTATTTTATATTTTATTGAATCTGAATGCTTCTTCGTCAAAATGAATAAAATATTTCCTTTTAATAAGATCACTACTGGCATTAATATAATTAAAGCCAACGGTGGCCCTTTGAATGCATTTAAGAAATTATTTAGGTAAGTCATTCTAGATTATTTATATTTATCATAATTCATAGTCAATAGCTAAAACTAATCACTTTTTATACTTTGATAGTTTACTATACACTATTTGAAATGTTTAAGTCAACAAGTCTACCCAGTTCTTATTAGCAACTTTTAAACTAAACAGGACATGCCATGTTAGGTTAAATGTTCATTGCCGATAAAAGGGTATACTTTTCTGTTAAGAGCATATTTGTATTATGCCAAACGTAGGTTAAAACAAATCTATATTTTTATTTTACTAAATATTTATCAAACTAATTACAGTCAAGCACTTTATCTTCTTCAAAAAGTTGATAAATGGTTTTAGAATCCTGATCGTGTTACATACATTTTTATGACATGGTTATTTGTTGTGTTTGAATAATTTTTATATTATTTTATAAAACAAAACAGTAATACATTGTTAAATTATTGTAAAACTAAAAAATTAATTAATTGTATGCTTATTACTTGGACCTATTTTTTATGTTTTTTTAAATTTGTATACATAGGTATTGCATATTTTAGTTTTTTTAAAACATTTAGAAACCTGTTTTGATAGGTAGTGCAATAAACCATCATGCTTTAGTATATTTTGACTTAAAATAAAAAAATTATTTTTACATAATTAACATATTTTTACAGACAAGATGAACTGAAAATCGGAACATTTGTCGGAACTGATGAAATGGGCAATCGTTACTTTGAAAACAATTTATATTTCTATGGTAATATTATTTCTTTTTGTTACGAAAGCTATAGACTTCTTAACAGTTAATTTATTTAAAATATCTCACCACTTTTAAGAATGTTTATTAGTTTATTTTAAATTAATTAAGTCTAAAAGTTTTGTAACATAATAATAGTGTAAATTATTGTTAGTATAGGCCGAAATCGTTGGGTAGAATATAATGAACAAGTGTTTTTGGACTATGATGCCAGTCAAATTCCAGCCGAATGGTACGGTTGGCTTCATTACAAAACTGATTTACTTCCATATAATGTACGTATAATAATTTTGTTTAAAATATATAGTATACAAACTTAAAAAATAATAAATTATTGAGAAATTATTTGATTTTTAAAATAAAATTTGGTTAATACTTATAATGATGCCGTTATAGTTTCAAGAATTTTATAACAGTACCTGAAAATGAGATTTTATAATTTTAATGTAGATAGTCTGGCAGCGAGATAATTCATTCTGGCCAATTCATTAACTTTAATTTGTAAATGTCAATTTACTCAGTGAAAAGCGTTTAAATTTATAAAAAATTAATCTCTATTTTTTATTATTAAAGTATTCATTTTGATGTTAATATGGAAAAGCAAATATAGTCAATCAATTAAGCCAGATACAAATTTCTTAATGATTATATAAACAATTTTGCACCATTTAAACATACTAAACACATTTTTTTTTTTTGTTTATTTAAACTATAAATTATATTGTATTATTTATGTTTATATATTATTTTTGTAACAATATATACCTTTGAACGATTACACTTTTCTTATGTCACCTAAAAAAGCTCTACTCATTCTACTTACTTTACACTGTACATTAAATGCTAGAAATATCTATACTTTGGATTATAAGTAATTTACAAGCTAATATATAATTTTTTTCCAGGACCCATCTAGGCCCAAGTACGAATGGATGGCCAAACATACAGAAAATGAAACAGGGACTTGTCGTCAGTATGTTCCATACAGTACTGTTCCACCAAAAATTGAAGCTTGGGTACCACCTCAAAAAGCTTAATTTAAAGAATGACATTTTAGTGTAAATATAAAAAATTTACATGTTATGTATTTTTCAAAATTAAAATAGTTAATATTTCTTAAAACAATTATACCCTAAATTTCTTTAATAAATAGTGATTAGTATTATATATTTATTTTTATACTGTAATGATATTCTTTTCTCTTTTAATATTAGCATATAATTATAATTTCCTAATAGAAAAAATAATGTTAATATCATAATACACATTTTTAACTATGAGTTATTTGGTGAGAAATTGTGTACAATGATTCAAATTGATATAATTTTTATATTGATAAAAATGTAATATAACTCTAAAAGAGTTCAAACCAATAATGGCCGATGATTTAAGTAGCAATTGCTTGTACTCAATAATAACATTTATTTCTATTTAATTTTTGTGATCTGAATATACCACTGTAAGACTAAATTGTCATTATTTTATTGGTATTTTTGGATAAACACAATTAAAAAAATGCAAAATTGCACAATTATCGAAAATATATTTTTTTAAATATATGGTAACCCGAAGTATGGTAAAATGTACAAAACAAATGTTTAAAATCAGATTCTTTAAAATGTAGTTTAAATTTGTAGCTTTTATATCTTTTTTTCTGACCATTAAGTAAACTTCCGGGCCCTACTCATAATACATATTTTTCGACCAAAATTGGAATTTGGATAATAAAAAACCGGCTTTAGATTATTTACAAATCCTTTTTTATTTTACAGTTCTGTGAGTTGATATTTCAATATAAACAATGTAATTAATAATACTTACTTAATAGGCAATAGCAGAAATCCAAGACTGTTACATTAAATAAATAATTGAATGCTTTTAAAAATATTATAAAATCGTTTTGAGAAAAGAGTAAACATAGTTTTAGATAAAAAGAGAAAATTATTTTATTTGGACGCAAAGGGAAAGGTCATGTTTAGTCCGAATTGTCCCGCTAGTGAACACAATAATAGGGCACGTTAGCACAGACTATTCACACTTCATATTAAATTATATTCTTTTATAGTTCTATTATACTTCTCTTTCCCCAGATATAAAATTAATAAAATAGAACGAATCAAAATAACCATTACATATGTCCTTACAAATCTTTTCCTTCTTCCTCGTCCTAAAAAAAATTGAGTCTCCAACAACCGAATCGAAAGTTTACTTTATACTGCTACAGTGTGAGTAAACAATAAACTATGCTTAAGTATTATATTACTTATTAGTTAAATATTATTAACGTTTATCTATCAGCTGTTGTCTGTTAGATTTGAATTTAATAATACTATAATCTTTTGCGAAGATTCTTAGAAACTTGTTTTTTAATAATATTATGGTTAGAGCCAGGTTAGATGCGATAACACAAAATTCAATTTTTACAAAAACTATTATTCTAGTCATATACAAGTTTTATTAATGTGTAAGTTTTATTAATTGTGTTTCAAAAATAACCAAAGGTTATTGTGTTTATTGAGCTATCGCCGCGTCATGGTACTAATAATCGGGTGATATAATTAATATTTTTAAATATTTGTTTACTTTTGGTCACTTTGAAACACTAGTACGCTTTTTACCAAAATAAAAGTATTTAATTAAAAATGTTTAAAACTGAATAACTAAAATCAAAAACTTAAAAATTTTCAATTCATAATGTTTTTCTCGTTCTGTATTATATTTAATCAAATGTTTACAATTTATTTTTTATTTATTCAAGACTTATTAATATAGTAGACTGTAGCATATACCATGTACCGTTTGTCCGATGTAAATCTGGATTTTGAAAGCCTACCCCTAATTACAATGTAATTATAGTCGGGTACCGCATGAACTAATTTTTTTATTAACTCAAGTTAAACGAACTTTTACGGTAGGTTGTTCAAATAAAGCGTAGGTACACAGCAGTACATATCACGATATTATTTACATGCGTTTTATTTGTATATTTTTAGTTAACATTTGGTAGACTGATATTTTTATGGTGTTACAGCTATGGTGTTTTTTAGCTATTTTATAGCTTCAGATACAACGTTATTCGTTAAGTAAAAAACATCTACACGTGTTTATACGCGGCGACCGAGGTTAATGTTGCGACAAACTTTTAAAAAAAAAAAAAAATTAGAAGAACTAGAATTTATCGTGTACAAAACGTGGATAATTTATGATGGAAAATAAAAATATGATTGGGTAAATCGAGACTGGATTATTAGGTACTATAATAATAGTACCTACTATCTCACACGCTAGACCCTCCGGTGTTAAGTGTGTTTGCTTGTCCATATGGTGTAGTGCTTTGTGGCATTGGCTTAGCTCGGATGACCCGACTGTTTAAAAAACGACCGCCGCCGTCTCGATGAATGGCGTAACCGTTCGCCATTTGGTTCTTATGTGTTGTCTATGGGAAACGTGTATAATATTTACTCGGACCCGCATAAATATCGGTGCAATAGTGTACACACAGCAGTCGCACACTCATCCTTAGGCCATTAAATATATTAGGCTAAAAAAAAAACCAAAAGGAAAAGAAATTGGGTCGTATCTTCTCTCATGGCCCGCCGTGTGTGTTCACAATAATTCACATGATATATATTTTGCTCGCAAGGTCGTACCTACGCTTATGTACACCTCTTCGGGGTCGAAACGGTCTCGTTTCTAACATAATAACAGGATAGACATCTTTATATTTATATTATATGGTGGCTTTTGTGTATCATTGGACATAGCGTCGTTACGCCATTATAAACTACTATTACAATAATATTATAATAAACACACATCCGACCGTGTATACGTTTAGTGTATCAATATTATAATGACCACAGAAAAAAAACGTTATGTTGTCATAACGATAATGATATGTAACGTTGAATGCGGTTTTCGATACCTAAGCCGAACTACGGACTAATTATTTTACTTTTATTTGTTTTCAATAAAACGCGCGCCGTGCCCTATCAGTGTATTGAAATAACTGTATTATTTTAACGGAGGTAAATCGGTCTAGTTTTCGCATCAATTATTATAACTTGTAAATGTATATATCTGTCATCTGTATACTTTTGTTCGTTGGTAATAAAATTAAAATAGAAGGTATATAAATAACAAGTAATTCCAAGATAATTAGCTTTGAGAAGAATATACGAAATGCAGTGATAATATATAATGCCTATTAAAGTACATAAACTATAAAGAATAATTAAGTAACAATACAATAACAAATAAATAATAATTTACCATAATACAAATCAATTATGAACTAGATTATCGGAGAAAAAAAATTAATGTTATACGTTATAAAAGCATTATTTTGTGAGTGACATGAAGTATAAATAAAAGAATGGTTTCTTAGAATTATAAGATGGCACCCTGATCGATATCTCTCCGAACAGTCCATAAGACCATTTACTAATTTATAAATGAAAAAAAGAGTTGTTCCAAATTTGCGCCTGTGATCTAGCTATCGAGACCTAGATGGTAACCTAATGAGCAATTAGACTCGTTTACGTTATTAAATGTAGGATAAAAGTTTATTAAAAAAAATATTCTGCACTTTTACCAATTTGTTAATTAAACCTGGTTGGGTTTATTAACACTAATCCGTCTTCTAGATTAAAGCGAACTAACAAACAAGATAGCATTTTCCAACATATTGGATCATTAAATTCTCGGCAATTCCTACGTATAAAACCTATTTTAATTATCTTTGATATATTATAAATAGAATTAATCTGTTCTCTAAAGGAAAGAGTATTATTAAGCTTAGATTTCATCATAAGCTCTATAAATTATGAACATGAAAATAAAAATAATGATCATGACATTTGATATAAGTAATGTACGTTTTAAAGAAGACAAAACTATAACATTTTTCCAGATTTAGTTTAAATTGCCAATCGGTATTCGCCGCTTTCCCGTGCATTAGATCATTTTGAGGAGGAAATTGAAGTCCTTATATATGTCGCATTGTTCGCACGCCAATAATTATAACTGTCCTAAAGTAATTGCATTGTTCTGATATTTGATTGTACCTACGAATAAAATAAATTGGTTTGACAAGTACTGCTCTCTACCTTTATAAAAAAACGAATTGGAAATACAACATATTTGTAAAGTTCACATGCTTTCCATATAATTGCCCGACGTTATGGGTTTTTCGCGATAATTTTATAAAAAAAAACCTACCATTTTCTACAATGTGGATAGGGCGAGACATTGTGAGTACGGCTACCTACTATTATTAAATTGTAAAAGTATTTGTAAATCGTTGTATGCGATTGTCACGTATTTACTCGAGTATTTGTAAGAAAAAACAAAAAAATGCAATAAAAAAATTAAAATGTCATCCTTAAAGACTATAATCAGTATCTTATTATCGTTGTCATCGTCATCATCGTCAGTGGTGTTCAGAACTAATCTAAATTATAAGTTGGAGAGTTTCATAATATCTATGTACGTGATTACACAATAATATGATCTACTAGAAAACTGGCGTAAATAGTAGGTAAGGGCGGACTGGCTAAGACGGTGAATACTATTTACTGAATAGACCATAGCTACTTGAATCACTTAAAGTTTTGAATCATTTGTATTTTCCTAGGCCGAAATTATACAGAAAATGAGATTTAAAAAATTAGTATTTCACGTTAAATGGATTACTCGGTATACGTAAATACGCAATAACACACATTTCAATGGACAAGTTCAACAATTCATTATGCATTGTTATACACATAAATAAATTAATAAAAACATTATATTTATTTAATTCGCTGTAGTATACTTTGTGAGAAATGAAATAATGTATTTTAGCGATGGGTAACTAAAAATACATGGTGAAATGTAAATATAAAATATATTGTACAGGAGTACATGTATCATATATAGGAATACCGGATACATTTTTTAATTATGTCGAGAAACCTTAACACTTAATATATATTGGATCGATTAACCTATTGGGTATTTGTTGTACCTAATGAGTATTAATTTTCATAAAATATTCTATCAAAGCAATGGGTAATCGCATCGCTTGTCAAACGTTTTATTTGATCAATGGTTTGTTTCAAATAATCTGTAAGCAAAAAGTTTCTCTCAAACCTATGTATTACTCATACATCTTTCTAAGACGT